CAAACAAATGAAGGATTAGCTTGACTTGAGAAAGCTGGTTAATTAATTTAGGGAAATCCGCCATCTCATGCAATAACACTATTATTTGAACTTGAATTAAATTAATGAAATAGTTGCATAATTCAGAATTAAATGAAATCCAAACCCTAGTTCTTTTTCATTCATAGTTTTTTTAACTTAGAAAATTCTTTAGTTTAATTTTCTTTAGTCGACTTAGTTTTTTTTTAAATCGCTTAGTTTTCCCCATTAATTGGTTAATTCAACTTAGGTCAGATTAATAGGGTCTTGGTAGTGTAGGATAGTCCTCGAGGGAACGATATCTTACTCATCTTATACTGCATAATCGATTAGGTTCACTTGCCTAAAAGTAGTTATATGGTGAGAGATGTGAGATATTTACTGATCATAAAAGTTTAAAATATATTTTCACACAAAAGGAGCTGAATATGAGACAGAGGAGATGGTTGGAGTTACTAAAGGATTATGATTTGGTAATCAATTACCATCCTGGGAAAGCTAATGTGGTAGCTGACGCATTGAGTAGGAAGAACCATAGTATTCTAGCTGTTTTAATTACTTCTCAAAGGTATATCTTGGAAGATTTGATTAAGATGGATGTTAGAGTATATAGGCAAGACTTAGATGCACTTTTGGCTAGTTTGCAAGTCCAGCCAACCTTGATCGAGAAGATAAAGACTGCCCAGTTCGATGATCCATTTTTGCAGCAAATGAGACAAAAGGTGGAGTCCAATGATCCCAAACTGGAATCTTTTAGGATTCATGAAGATGGTTCTATTAGGCACGGTGATCGAATTTGTGTTCCTAATGATTCAGAGTTAAAGGAGGTAATTATGAAAGAAGCTCACAATACTGGGTATACGGTTCATCCTGGAAGTACTAAAATGTACAGAGATTTGCGAGGAACCTTCTGGTGGAATAACATGAAAAGGGAAATAGCCGATTTTGTGGCTCAGTGTTTGACATGCCAACAGGTTAAGATTGAGCATCAAAGACCAGCTGGCAAGTTGCAGCCACTTCCTATTCCAGAGTGGAAGTGGGAACATATAACCATGGACTTTGTCACTGGTTTTCCTGCAACAAAAAATGGAAATGATTCTATTTGGGTTATTGTTGATAGGTTAACCAACTCTGCCCATTTTCTTCCCTATAAAACAGGAATGCAAATAGAGGGATTTGCAAAGTTATACTTAAAAGAGATTGTGAGGTTGCATGGGATACCGGTGTCTATTGTTTCAGATAGAGATTCTCGTTTTGTTTCTCATTTTTGGGGTAGTGTACACAGTGCTTTAGGAACAACTCTTAATTTTAGCACCGCTTATCATCCACAAACAGATGGACAGTCTGAAAGAACCATTCAGACTTTGGAAGACATGTTGAGAGCATGTGTAATTGATATGAAAAATTCTTGGGATCATCATTTACCTCTCCTAGAATTTGCTTATAATAATAGTTACCATGCAAGTATTAAGATGGCTCCATATGAGGCTTTATATGGGAGGAGGTGCAGGTCTCCAATATGTTGGACAGATGTTGGGGAAAGGAGTTTGTTGGGCCCAGAGTTGGTCCAGCAAGCTACAGAGAAAGTTCATCTTATACGAGAGCATCTTCGTGTTGCACAAAGTAGGCAAAAGAGTTATGCAGATAATCGGAGACGTGATTTAGAATTTGCTGTGGGAGAGAAGGTATTTTTGAAGGTGTCACCTACTCAAGGTGTTGTGAGGTTCGGTATTCGAGGAAAGCTTAGCCCTCGCCTTATTGGTCCCTTTGAGATTTTAGAAAGGGTTGGAGAAGTGGCTTATAGGTTGGCATTACCGCCAAATTTATCGGAGGTGCATAATGTTTTTCATGTATCAATGCCAAGGAAGTATGTTCCAGACCTTAGTCATGTGATTGAGCATATCATGTTCCAATCCAATTGAGAGAGGACCTCTCCTATGAAGAACAACCAATTTGTATTGTTGACCGAAAGGAGCAAGTGTTGAGAAGACGTGTTATACCCTATGTTAAGATTCAGTGGAGTAATCATACAGAGCGGGAGGCAACATGGGAGTTGGAGGAAGATGCTAGGAAAAAATACCCGCAACTTTTTGATGAACAAGGTATGAGTTTAGGGACTAAACTCTTTTAAGAAGGGAAGAATGTAATACCCAGAATTTTTATTATTGTTATTATTATTTAATTCCTTAAGGATGTGTATGCAATAAGGTGGAAATATGAGGACTTATGTGTATAAT